ATCTATCTATAATACAAAACCTATTACTTCCTATGCCCTAGTCTTTTGTATGCCAACCCACAAATGTTGTTGTTCAACATTGAACCAAATCAAAACAAGCTGTACCACAACATTTGTGGGTTGTCACACAAAAGAGATTAGGGCATGGCAAATCATAGACTTGGTATTAGGGATAGAAATAGGATAGAGACGGCGGGGACCGGAGCTACCAAAAGTTGATAATTCTGCCCTACTATGAGCTGAATCGAAAATTGTGACCGTTACTTGGAAAATGGGATATTAAGGTGATAAAACCTGAAACGACAACATCTTATTAACATGCCATATCAATACGAGAAGGCTGACAAACTGGATTGTTTGGGCGTTTATCGCATAAAATGCAGCAACTATGATCAAAGTAGAATGGTTGAACCGGAAGAAAAATCAGTTTATGAATCAAGGAATACCAGGGACCCTCCAGAAACATGGGTCCATGGTCTACTCATAAATACCGAAAGTGCATTTGTGACCCCATGCACACAGATGTTCATGATGCTTACCATGTCATCGATTCTTCTTATGAACAACCAATATTTCCAATTTAATTCTAAGTTAACTTAATTAAAGCTATCTAGTAATCATAATTAATATTCCCATTTTAAGTGATAATTTTATATTCATTGGTTGGCTGTTTTTACACGGATAACTAGTGTGCTGGGGTTGAAATCTCGATTTCAGATTTTAGTGCTAGAAAAAGTGCATTTTCATCCATAGTGGATGCACATTCGATACAATAAAGTTCATTAGCTAAATTACGGTTTTTCATCTCCCTTTAATTTGCCATTCTGCCTCCTTCGATTTTATGATCACAAGAGATTTTATCTCATCTTAATTCTGGGATATTAAGAGCGTCCATCATCTGCATTGTAGCCCATGAAGTGTTTGGCATGATGGGCTTTTTAATGTTACATTTGGTTTTAATCTATCATAGCTTTTATCTTTTGTACATAGCTCGTATTCACTAAATGTTTTAAGACAGACTAATTCACACATCTGCTTTCAGCTTTTATTTATATTTTCCTCTAGATTGAATTAATCTAGAAGACGTTAGCGCCATCCTATGGCACAACCGTGTCTATCAAATTTTTTAGTCAGGCAGATACATCCACACATTGGTGTTTGCAAATGATTTTTTTATACTTCAGTTCTTATTGTCCTTTCTACCAAATTTGTTACATTAGGTGGCTCTACGCATATCACGCACACTGTTGGCCCGAACGCATTTCCCACTTCTGATCAACCAACCTTAGCCTCTTCTCGCTGGACATCTCCAGACTGTGGTCCGCTTCCTTCACAAGGCAATGCTTCCGCAGCTCCAGTACGGACTTATGAACTAACACATCCTGTAGTTAGCCCATCGACGGCTGATGAGATCTTTGCCTCTCTCCAAGCTGCCTGTATGGACGAGCAGCAGATCAATGCCCCTCCAGTTGTAGCTATATCTATCGTACCAACCTCTCGTTCGGAATCTGTCTCCTCGCGGCAGGGTTATGAAAAAGTGCCATCAGATAGTAGGACGGCATCTTCAGCTTCTCGAATCCGCTTGCGTGGGGTAAAATCACTTGGAAAGGCTTTCACGAACAGCATCATTCGTCCCCAGTTGTTAGGGCTTGGTGCGAAGCATGCCAGTAAGCATTCAACCGACTGTAAGACAGCGGGACTTCACGAGACCACTGATCAAATGGTCATTCCTACAAGCTGTATTTTGCAGGATGTGAATGGCAAAGAGCCTATCCCACATGGCTCCAAGCCAGCAGTTCAACATCCATCACCTGCGACGCCACTACCATCGGAGCCTCTTCAAGCATGCATTAACAATCAACAAACAGCCACGATCCATCCACAGCGGCAACAACAACAACATAATCACACAAGCCGAGAGGTGATTGGCGGAAGCACCGGTTCCTGTCCTCTGTCGGGTGACGCAGATCCATTTAGTCTCGAAATGGATGAGCTCGATAAGCTTCTGACCGGTAAGCAGCAATATTCAATTAATGAATCCCAATTAGGTTCCGTAAGCATGCTGTTTTCATGCTTGCTTTTCTTCCGTCGCACCTTTTGTTCTGCACACCTTTTATATCGCACAATAAAATTATATCAATTTACTTCATTTCAATTTGGAGACTTTTATTTTGTATGGAAGCACATGTTGAAGAGATTCATTGGTCAATCTCATGAGAAGACGTCGGCTGGTTTGCATTGTATTGCAGCCGTTTGGCGTTAATACGACGTTCAGATTGATGCAGTCCGCGAGACATTCTGCAACGTTTCGTGCAAAGACGGGCTGAGCTTTCGTTTGTCATGTGCCGAACATTGTCAGAGCTTGGAATTATTCTTGTAAAAACCTTTAGTTAACACTAAGTCAATAAGACTAACTGGCTTTTTTATATATGATATATATATATATATATATATACTCATTGCGAGCAAAAAACAGGATCACTTTCAGCATGGACATTTGCCTAATGTATTCCAGCACAATCGTGTTGAGACTTAAATTCGAAAGGAAGCTACAGCCTAAACTTAAGTGCGACTGAAGGAATAGGTTAAAATATATTTTCGTTAAATATACACAGGTATATTATTTTGGCATTCTCTAGCTGAGCATCCTGCGCCACAGATAACTTCAATGATGTGTCCGTCAGTCGGCCTTTTGTGGTACCTTTGGTAAAGTAAACAGCCAATCC